TCACGGGTATCGTAGCGTGTCCAAGACCGGAACCGCAATAGTCCGAAGTGTGCCTGTGGTAAAGTGTGGCGTGCAGGTTGGGTTGTGGCTGGCTAGTTCAAGAGGATCATAAAGCTAAGGCCAAAATTTTCATAGTCTCAGCTCGCGTAGCCATGCGCTTCTCATCAAGCGGGTCACCAGCCTGAGTGACGCAACCTAGTTGCCTGGTGTTTGACGGTTTGGCCACTTTTGGGGTTAGCGTGGGATGTTTGCGCTGGCTTGGGAGGTTTTTTCTGCAAAATTAGATCGTTGCTGTGACGGCGGGCTTTGAAACCGTTGTGTTCCTCTCTTTTTGATGCCATCCTGCGCAGCCAACTTGCCTCTTTGCCATGTTCTCGACCGCATTTCTGGTGCAATTGTCTCCTCGGTTGCCAAGCTCTGACACATCTAGTCTTTTCGTTTGTGCGGAAAGGGCCTTCAAGCCGTTTTGCAATTGTGTCTTGACGACGCAGGCTGGCGCAGCATGCATAGTTGGGGCCTCCGGGCATCATGCGTGTGCATGGGATTCGACGCGCTGCACAGGTTGGCTGCTCTCAACATGTGGTTGTGGCGTGGGGTGGTATGTCCCACACCCACGTGTCCAATTTGTAATTTCAGCTTGCAATTTTTTTTGCAGAACATTTCATAAATTGCTTCACGCCGCATTCAACATGCAATAATGTTGGCCTAGCAACGATGTCCCCCAACTTGTTTTGCGATTTTTTTGGATTTACGGTGAGCAGGTGTCGCAATAATGAACCAGGGGGTGTTGGTAAGAATAAGTCGTACAAGTAAATTTGTCATTAATACAAATAATGGAACGCCCATTAGCATTGGCACATTTTTGGCGCAGACTTGTTTTACGGTTACTTCATCATCATTATTGATCGAGCTGATTTATAAGGCTTCGGCTTCCAATTTCGAGAAACAATGCAACTTTCCGGATTCCTGGAGGCCCGTCGGAATTTTATGTTGTCACCTCATTTATTTGTAGCAGGCCAGCATTAGTTTGTTTCATGAATCCACAATTTTGTTCCGAATTCTAGGCCAGCATGCAACAAAAAATTAAACACCAAATGTGGAACTTAAATTTAAAGGACCTAATGTTGGGTCATACATGGCAAAACCAATTCTGTGATGGAGGAAGTTCAACGACACCGAAAACATTCAGGCTTTGGATGATGTGAATATTCGCAATGCATGGCTTCAATTGCAAGAAGAGAATACTTCGTCATGGCCCGTACTTTTTTCCGCAACATGTAGCCGCAAAAACGGAAGGTTTGGCATGTGCTTTGGCATGTTAAATGTTAAATAAAATATTATGATGGCATGCCAAAACTTTCGTAAACAAAGCAGGATGCAAACTCCGCCCACAGCCAGAAATTTTGAACTTGCGTCACGGTATGGAATGTTTTAATTCCGCCAAAAAAGTACAGCTCGCCACCATACAGCCTTGTTTGGATTGTCTGTCACATATTCAAATATAGCACCCAATCGTAGTTGTGCCAACAGATGAAGAAAACGAACATCCTGCTAGATTGCAGCAGCTCAGAGTGACTTTGTTTTGGAGACCTCAGTGACAGTCGGTTTGATTTGGGTGGTTTAGCCATGATGCCACTATTCGTGGTACAAGTGCTGTCAAGGTAAAAATGTTACAGTAATTCCACAAAATGTTAATTTGTTTGCAAAAAGAAAGAACTCACTGACGCCTTTTCCGGACATGGTGTCTCAGATTCGCATTCCTTTTTGGACAAGTTTGTTTCAGTCCCTGTGCATGTCGTAGGGATATGTAAGGCAATGTAAGGGGCTAGGGCTTTACGGATGGAAGTTTAGCACGCTTCATGAGAGGTTCATGTGCCGAGAAGACCAAACGTTGCCTTGCAATAAGAGCATGCTGCACCATTCAAACCGTTCATGCAAAGTCACTATCTGACTTTCACAAATGGAGTTATAACCTTTTTATCTGATCTTAGCAAATGGTGTCAAAGGTTTGTTATGATGTTGGTGACGGTCAAAAGACTATCCCTATAAGCTACGCTGGAAACTTGAATCCTGAAAGGAAATCGTGCATTCTATTGCATCAATTCGTCCTTGCCGTTTGGATTGAAGGGTCGCTTTCGAACAGGGTTTTACAGACATGCAACGCAGCATGCCAGTTGAAGTGTCATACCGCTTGTTCATATCCAGCAGTCCCGAACAGACGAAGCATTGAAAACCATCGGTGCATATGCCATAGATGAACAAACATGTTAGGCAGGATCGGCTTGTCGCACGTTTAGCCAGTCTGTTGAAGCAATGCCAACTCAGAAAACAAGCCCGGACATGTTGGCGTGTTGGGTTGCCTAGACTTGCAGCCATGATCAAGTCCATCTTGGTGAACGCCTCAAATTGCTATGGTTTTGCAAGACGAATTCGTGCAACCGGTGGATGTCAGGTTGTCAACAATCAGGCCAACAGTGCAGTCTTGTCATTTTGCTTGGCATCATGTATGACACCTGTGACCCAAGCCATGACACAAGGGGCATTGCACCGTGTGGAAGTTGGGCTCAAGAGAGGGTTTGCCAACGCAAAAAGTAGAAGCATTGAGTCAGGGTCATGTCTTTGAAAGGGTTTCCCTCCCCGTTAGTGAGGGCATGTACTCACGCCATTGGAGTTGTTGGGTCTAGAACGAGGTTACACGCAGCAGCCTCATGTTTGTGCACGAAGACGTCCTTTGCTAAGCAGGACAAGATGTGCAGCACAGTTGTGGAGTTCAGCGAGGAACAAAGGATAGGCTGTGTCACTCAAAGTTTGTTTAGCCAACTAGTTAGGTGACTCATCCCGAGTCTGGGCCTGCAGCAGTTTCAGCTGGAGATCGAGTTCACATTTTACGTATGGGAAACGGCACGAGGCAGGATGAGCGACCCGGCAGCCTAATGATTTGTTTGCCCTCACTGGTTCTCATTTGAAATACGATTATGCTTAGTTGGTGTTGCACTGACAAGCATGACTGACAGGGGAACTGCAGCGTGATCTGTTGCTTGTGATAATGATGCTCTGAAAGTAAAAGAAGTAAGGAGCAGAAAGTTTGGCTGGCTGGGAGAGTTTGCTTTGCTGAGCTTTGCTGTACATTTGGGCGACGGGCTCCGAAAGCTTCATAGAATTGTTAACCCCCCTCTTGCAACGTTTTTGATCTTTGCATCCATTTCCGTCAGTCAGTGTCCTACAGTTGACAATTGACAATACTTGTTTTGCTTTCCAGCGTTTTTGATCTGCGCGGCATCATATCTAGGGGAACCATGGACCTATAGATTATTGCAAAGCAGGGGAGCACATCCACCTGAACCTTCCGAATAATCCCAACCGGCCCTGCAAGCTCCAGCCATAGAAAGTTTCGTAGCTCGTGTAGCTTCAAAAGTTCAGGGCTTGTTTTCGTCACTCCGGTTTTGCTTTGCCACTACAGCAAATGAAGGACAAGAGATCGAACAAAAGAAAAAACAAAGGAAAATAAAGAAAGCACTTTCATCAAACAAAACTTTGCAATCACGTCCGTGTCATCATGCAGTTGTTTTGATCGGGCCAGCCATGAGCGCAGAGTTGAGACAATTTTGGTTAATCAGAACATTCTTTGTCGCTTGTGCGCACCAGGCACAGTAGCCCCATGTCTAGAATGTTTTTTCATTCTGGTCAACTGCTCCTCGAAATTGTCCTTTTGGTCGTGCGTTTTCGTGCGTTTTCACGCTTCAAAATCTATACCACCAACAGATACAGGCTCCTGGCTGCTTTCAGCATATGTCTCATTGTTGTCTTTCAAGTCTTGTTTTCATCAGCCTGTCCTCTTTCGTTGGAGCTTTTCTCACATATAAGACCAATGTATGAGCATCCTTCACTGAAAGTGCGGGTGCCAAGCAAGCCAAATCTGGCAGTCATCTCGAGCGTTCCTGAGATTCGCTTCCCAGGAAAAGTCATACATACCTGATTACATGACGTTGCAATATTGTCCAGCTTTTGCCTTTCTTTTTGCTCTTGTAGCACCTGTAGGACGTCAGGGTCTTCTTATCATATCTTATCATTAGTAGTAGACGACGAAGCTGTCTAAGCTTATTCGAAGAATCCCAGCAAAGCAAGGGCCACGAAGCAGCATCATGGCTTTTGACAATTGTCGTATGCAACATATGGAGACAAAGTGACTTAGTGGGCGAGGAACTGATCGCCCTTCCAACATTTTTGTTGGAGTGCACGAGCAGCATCACCAAAATGTAGGAGCTTGGGACATCTCATTTAAAGTCTTTTCCGAGGATTGACGGCTGGCAGTTTGGGAGTTTTCTGCGCAATTTTATGCTTCTTATTCATTCTAATGACTCATGTTTGTTGACAAGGCGCAGCTAAGGTCGCAGTGCTGCAGAGGATGGCCGGTCCAGAGGTAGTTGATGCCATGCCCTTCTGAAATTCATGGACGAGATGACGCAGTAATGCCTTCCTATGGCTCCTCAAAGGTGGACAGGCGGAACTTGGGGTTTTATCCTTGACAGCACTTATGTAGAGACCACTGCTGTGAGTGATGCAGCCAGGTCTGGTTATGCGAGGAGCCAGACAGCCGGCCGTATGTTCCGGATTGATCAGATTTCCTGGACTGGCGCGCAGGTGTCGCACTTTCATGTGTTGGCTTCGCTTCTGTAGTTTAGCTGACTGAATGGTTCTGCCCAAGTTCAGGACGGAGCCTTGTTTAGTCGTCGTTATGGAGACTATCGCATCTTGTCCCTGTTGCTGAGGCAGGACTGCCCTACTACATGCAGAGCTATCCTGCTTAATTACAATCTATCCGCTGATCAGCCGATGCACTGCCAGGAGAGCCGTTCCAATTACGACTGACTGACGCTTGCTTTGATCGTTTTTTTTTTTTTTTTTTTGTTTTGGTGGGCCTCCGAGCTTGTGGCTGTGCTCGATCCCGCAGCATGAGTGTCAAGAAGACGTAAAGCACTCTCAGGGTCAGCGGTATTGTCATGGGAGTTGGTTGGCTTCGATGGGGCATAACACCAGATCTTCGGAGAAGCGACTCCATGCATGAGGATGCACTCTGGAAGAAGGCTTTGCCACTGTCTACAGCACTGCCGGGCACAGTCTCCTCTCGCCTCCCCGCGTATGTCGCAGTTTGGCGGCTCCGTGCAGTGAGTGGCTTGGCCCAATGGTCAAAGGTCTTGAAGATTGAGAAGACGACGTATGAAGAGCTGCAGGTAGTGTCGTGTTTAGGTGGAGAACCCAGAAGGCACGGCATCTCGCATACCGAAAACTTCTAGCCAGTTGTGATTTTTGACCATGCCATGGGTAAAGGGGTCGCCTAGCCAACACTTTTCTGGGTCGCCAAGCCCGCTTTTTAGGGGTCGCTTGGCAAACTTTTTTTGGCCGCTTCGCGCACGAGGAGCTGTCTTCGGGAAAAATGTAGGCTGTGTTAGGAGCAGATTCGGCAATATGGGCCAAAAGGGCAATCTTGAAGGCTAGCTTCGGGCAGCATCCAAAACCCCTAAACCCTAAATCCAAAACCCCTAATTAAATCCTAACCCTACATCCAAAACCCCCGAACCCTAATCCCTAAATCCAACACCCCTTAACCCTGAACCCTAAATAAATCCAAAACCCTCAAACCTAAATGCGAAACCCCCAAACCCTAACCCTACATCCAAAACCCCCAAACCCTAAACCCTAAATCCAAAACCCGCAAGCCCCAATCCTAAATCCAAAACCCTCTAACCCGAAACCCAAAACCCCTAAACCCTAAACCCTAAATCCAAAACCCCAAGCCCTAACTCTAAATCCAAAACCCCCGAGCCCTAAACCCTAAATCCACGCTGCCAGCTGGAATATGCGGGTGAAAAGAGGCGCCTAAAAAGGAAAATTACCCTAAATCCAACACCTAAACCCTAAACCCTAAATCCAAAACCCGCAAACCTAAATCCGAAACCGCTAAAGCTAACCCCAAATCCCAAACCCCCAAACCCTAAAGCCTAAATCCAAAACCCCTAAACCCTAAATCCAAAACCCCTAAAGCCTACACCCTACATCCAAAACCCCTAAACCCGAACCCTACATCCAAAATTTCCAAACCCTAAACCCTCTAACCTTAAATCCAAAACCCCTAAAGCCTAAACCCTAAACTCATAACCCCTAAACCCTAAACCCTAAATCCAAAACCCCCAAACCCTAAATCCAAAACCCCTAAACCCTAAATGCAAAACTCCTAAACCCTAAGCCCTAAACCCCAACACTCTCATACCCTAAGCCCAAAACCCCTAAACCCTAACCCCTACATCCAAAACCCCCAAGCCCTGAACCCTAAATCCAAAACCCTCTAACCCTAAATCTAAAGCCTTACAGCCAAAAAAAGGTTCTGGCTCCAAAGCTCTAAACCCGACCAAATCATTGAAGTCTGAAAGTCCCAAAGCCAGAGCCCTAAGATCGAAAAGGCTCGATCCCACAACACCTCAGCCCAGAGAACATCCTACTCAAACCGTGAAAACCTTGCAGGCCTGAACCCGAAGCTGCACGGTCAATCCAAACGACAAAGCTACCTAAAACGAATGCTGCAAACTGCATAGACCCCCAGGCTCTGAAACCAGAACCCTGCTTCTTAAATAACTTCACTCCTCCAGCCTCTCGCGCCTCAGCTCTAACCCACCAAAAACTCTCACCTTGTAAAGTTCCTTGAAGCTGGAAGTCTCAGAATCCTAAAAACCAAGGCGCTAGATCTGTAGGCCCTCGCCTCTTGACACATTCCAAGCTAAACGTCTTAAAGCAGAATTAGAACCCGGTCGAACTCCCGGTGCTCGGCATTCTAGTTCCTTCAAGCCCGATCCTAAGCCTGAAAGCCAGTAGTGGCGAAGCCCTTGACCTAAAACCTTGAACCTTGAGCCTAAACCGTAAGCCTTCAACCAGAAACACTACTTATTAAATCTAAACCTCAAACATCCAAAGTTGTTCATCCTGAACCTCGAACCTAAACCTTTGTACCATAAGATCCCAAACGAACACTACCCAAAACCCCAAGCGTTCAAACCTTGCGAAATTCGTGCATCCGGAAGCCGGATAATCCTAAACCCGCAATCCCAAAATCGTCTAGAAAAACTTTGCGCCATCAACCCCGAATTCACTAAAACCTCAAACTTGGAAACGTGATCCCAAACCCTGAACCTTCAGTCTCAGAGTCTGCAGACCAAGACCCTACATCCGCAGACCCTAAAACCTAGGCATGTTGCCCAACCTCCATTTTTTGCACTGGACGCGTAAACCTCGCAAAACCTTATCCTTACCTTGTGCCCCTAATAGCCATGAACCTAACTCGCCATTTTCGAGTCTCGAAGCTTAGTGTCTCGTATGTCCCATGCACGTCCAACTGTTGGTGTCATCCGTTTTGGTAGCCTTCATTCCATCCAGTATGATTGTCACCAACACCGCAGTCCTAATGGTACTGCCAACTATCCTCATGAATTGACTACAGCCTGCATCTATGATCATGAGTGGCATTGCCATCAGCCTTTGGAGCCTTGCTACTTAGCCAAACCCACCATCACGGTCATAGTCATCTTCATCGTAGTTGTTGTTGTTGTTGCTGCTGCTGCTGCTGTTGTTGTTGTTGTTGTTGTTCCGAAACAACCCCGGGGAATGATGAAGCTGCTCAAGACTCTGCAACTGGGTTTTATGATATTTCATGTTGAAGTTTGCGCTTTCATTCCGGAGAGGTCTTGGGGTAAATATTCCAGGCCTCAGCTTAACACTGGCCAGTGTACTTTTTGTTTGCTGGGATTTGACGTTTCTGTGTGAGAAGCAGTTGGTCCAAATCTGAACTTGAAGGCATAGGTTCTACCAGGAGCCAACTTGCCTGCCGGCTGTGCCAGCGTGATAGTCGATTTTTCTCCCTAGTACTCGGCCTCCTTCCCCCATGTCTCGGATGCAAAAATCAAGGCAAAGCTTGGAATCGGGCGACAGTACGGGCGTGTTTGATGAGACAAGCAGACCATTGGACAGCGACAGAGCTGATGAGAGTCTCATGCTCCTATTTTGAGGGTGGCGGTGCTGACTTTCTAGCTAGACGGCTCGTTTTCGAGCCGTTGTGTGGAAACGATCCACTAAGAGGCGATGCACGGATGATCATGATCAAGGGAAACACGAATAGCTGGGAACCTCCAGACGAAATTGAGCGTTCCGACGGTAGCTTTGTCTGTGAGATGCTCGAGAACGAGAAGGCCATTCTCAGAATAAATATTATGCGCAGAGGAGTAAACGGGTCCCTGCATCCTGAAGAGCACGTTCTGTCGCTAGGACAGGCTTTGTTTGCGAATACCGTTGTTAGCGGCTAAGAGCGCCAGCTACAAAGCTAGCTAGTACAGCGCGCCGGGCCCAGAAAAACGTGTGCAAATGTCTGGTAGGTACGGCAGAGTGAAGCCAACAAGCAAGCAACACAGTGATTAGAGGCAGCTCCTCATGGCCGGCCGTGTCCGTCGGTAGATTTTGAATTCAGGATGTTGCTAGCTTTCACGGATGCCAGTCTATGCGCTTTGGAAATTTCAAGTTGCGGCAGTCTTGGCATAGCTACTCAGTTCTGTGGTATACTGCTCCTAAGGAAAAAGAGGCGCATGAGTTTCCACGGGGAAAGGGTGCGCCAGCAGCCTCCAGGAAGCGAAGCCGTTGCAGGCCACCGGGTTGTTTTGAAATGTGATATGCAAAGGTAATGCTAGCAAAGGGTTCCCAAGGGCGGAGGTGCATGTTCTGTTTGAAGTGAACGTCTGTCAAGAGGTGTAGGAATTGAGACTGGATTTTCGTTATCAGTGCAGCACGGGCGCAGAACTGCTTTTGAGATCAAAGTTGTTGTGGCCATGGCCCGTGCACAGGTCAGACCGCAGCACCCCGCATCAATCTGACATAGCGCCTGATAGCTCCGAACTCCATGCAATGCTGTTTTCACAAAGCCCAGCCGTGTTGCTGGAAAATGGCTGTCTGCTTTGATACGTTTGCATGTCGCAGTGCAGATGCACTTGCACGTCATTCTTCGACCAGGGTAAAGCACGCCTTCTACGTTTTTACTATGACGTCCCCATGGACAGGCCGGAGAAAAAACTGACTGGGCAATCGTTGAGAAAACAACGCGCAGGCAGAAGCACATCGCGCAGACCGTTTTTCGATTAGGCCCGCAAAAGCCTTTGCCGAACCATCCGAACGCAGAATTCTCTTGGTGCTTGCATGATCCATGGTTTCCTTTGCAGTCAGCACGCGCGTGGATGAGAACTGCTGCTGCTTCGTGGAGGAGCCGTGCCTACAGAGAAGGCGTGATCAAGTCTTTCCCAGCAGAGGAATGATGTCAATAGCCCTATGATGTGCACAGTTCGACCTGAAGTTGCAGGACGAATCTCTCTTCGGGCCTGATCACAAGATTATATACAGGTTCGCGAGTTTCAAGCCTTGCAAACATGCTGCATCCTGTCCAGCTGTCAGGCATTTTGCAACCCTGTACTTCATTTTCATAGCTGACAGCGCCGAGAGCGAATTGGGTGTCCTCGATCTGATCCAGGCGTGGCGGCAGCCGTGTGTTGCCGGTTCTCTGAAGCGTGAGAGCTTCTCGTGCTTTTTTTGCTCAGTCGGGCTGGAAGACGCTGAGCCTGTATCAGATGAAGGTCTTTGTGCAAGTTCTTGACTCATGCTTCGAGAACGTGTGCGAGCTGGACCTCATCTACCATTTCGATCGGGTGCGGTCCCTGGCTGTTTCCTTGAAGTGCTCAAGATTCAACATTTTGATGAGTACTGGCTTTCCGGCTCGTGTTCAAGCTCTCAGGTGAACTACATTCTGGATGAAATAGTCATGGCAGGAATGGTCCTTGAGACCAATGCTGATCTCATCCTCAAAGCGGTAAAAGTCCATGCCTCAGACATGAAGGCACCCCTCGTCCTTGTACCAACTTGCACTCAGGAAACCAAGAAATTGGAGCAGGAGGGATCAACCTTTGGCTTTTGAGCAACACCTGTGCCAGACCAAAGTGGCCACAAGAGCCAGCAGCGTCTGCGAAAATGGATTTCTGCAAAAAGACCTTGTCTTGCATTTCATTCTTCTTTGGTTCCTGACGCTTGCCAAAGCCTCTTGTCCATGCCTACGCTCTAGCGCATTGCTCAGGACTCTTGGCTTAAGCCGCTATGAGGGTGACTCACAGGGGTAGACTAGGAATGTTAACAGATGTTCAGCCACCCAAAATTCTTTTCTGAGGCTCGATCATGCGGTGGACAAATACAAATTATGCTTAAAACTAGTGTTCCGAAGAAGCAACCTTTTTTCTGCTTACCACATGTAGTGCTTAGCCAGATAACCTTGCACCATCCATGCAGATTTAAACTTCCATGCTTGCGTTTGCAAATGTTCGATACGATGCTTTCCCTGCCATGCATGAACTCTTCTGCCTCTGGCTTTGATGATTGCTCATGGACGATGACTTCGACAGATTTTTAGAAGCCTCAAACGATGACGAGGAGAGCTTCCTGCAGCCGACACGCCGTGATGTCCCAGGTCGTTCGCCAGCGAGAGGTGGCAGCCCTTCCTATCGCGGGAGCAGTGATTATGGAAGGAAGTATGGTGGAGCTTATCGCTCCAATGATCCACTTGCAAGCATTGACCTGAGCTCCTTGCCAATTCCAGAGCGTGTTGCTCCTAAGTCCTCGTCGAAAGCAGGCAAGGCAGCCGTTGCATCTCGAGGCCGCGCTGAGCCTTCCTCGCCTTCCCCCACGGTTCGCAGTGGGATGCGCCAGTCCAGTGACCGTGGTGCAATGACACCATCAGCAAAATCTGAGCCTGCAAAGACAAAGCCGTCTCCTACTCATTCAGATTCGGAGAGCTCTGTATCACATGGGCACAGTGAAGGTGACGCGACAGGTACAGGGGCCATGGCATCAATCTTCGCCAATTTCAAAGCAGAAATGGAACAGCAACTAAGAGAATCAGCTGAAGAGCAAAAGCGACAGGAGGAGGAAAGAGAAAGGAAAAAGAAGGAGGAAGAGGAGAGGCGAAAGAAGGAAGCTGAGGAAGAGGAAAACAGAAGGAAAGAGGAAGAGTCCAGGAAAAAGCGCGAAGCAGAGGAAGCAGAGCAGAAGAGGCTTGAAGCTGAAGAAGCAAGGAGGAAAGAAGAGGAGGAGCGTAAACGGCTGGCCCAGGAAGCCGAGGAAAGGAGACTGCGCGAAGAGGAGCGCAGGAAGCTACGAGAAGCTGAAGAAGCCGCTGAAGCCGCTGAAGCTGCTGAGGCAGAGCGGAAGAAAGAGGAGCTGAGAAGACGAGAAGCTGAAGAGGAAGAGAGGAAAGAGCAAGAGCGCCAGCAGCGTGACAAGGAGGTGGCCGAAGCAAAAAGGAAGCAGGAAGAAGAGAACAGGAAGACACGAGAAGCTGAAGAATCAGAGAGGAGAAGGGTAGAATCTGAAGCACAAAAAGCAAGGCTGGCAAGGCAAGAAGAGGAGAGCAGGGCAGATCCTGATCAGGCCACCGCTGCACATACAGCCCAGGCCCAGAGCTTCCCCACCCTCCCCACGGCTCCCGTACTCCCCGTCCTCCCCACGCCTCCGCCTCCTGACCCTTCCCCTCCTGACCCCTCTCCTCCCAACCCTTCCCCTCCCCCCTTCACGAGCACAAGAAGTGTGAAGGATGATGTCGAGGTTGAACGGCGAGTGGCGGAGAATACTTGGCATATGCAGATTCCTGACGTGAAGGTTGAATCCGTACGGAATAGACAAGAGGTTGGCGGTGGGTACATTGTGAAGCGCAGAGACGATGATCGACAAGATGAGGAACAGGCGGGGGAGTAGATGCAATTGACGTGCGCAGGACAATACAGTGCCTAAGAGCGACTAGAGGAAGTAGCAAGACGTGTCACGAAGCTACCCTAACACCACCGTTCTTTGATGCAGGGGTGCGGGCACGATGACTCCTTCAACTTGTTCGTGTAGCAAGCTGAAGTTGAAAATCCCATAATCTGGATTTAGTGGAGCCCGGCTACTGCCCACTAAGCAAAGAGCTTGACATTCTGATCTTAAGGTGGTTTTGAAAGATTGAACCCAACCGTGCTCAAGCAAGCAAATCCATCATCATGCCAAGAGCCTTGTCAATTGGTCCACCGAGTGCAAGCCCTCATCCAGTCAGGGCTCTGCCACTTTCTGTTCGCAAGTTCGCACTTGCTTCTGGAATTTCTACATGCCGCCAATCCAGTAAAGCCACATGTGCACGGCGGATCGCCAACACAGCGGACCGCCGGCTCGTCCAGATACGCCAAAAACCATTCTGTGGCTACGGCCTTGTCGTGCTCATGAACAAGCAGATTGATACATACTCTCTGCCTGCATGGTATCCGACAAACGACGGTCAGCATCACGCAAGGTGTTTTTCATCCGCCTGCACCACAGCGCATCACACATCAGCCAAAGACAGGTAACAGGCAGTTATCCCAAGATTGGGGTGTGTAGTTGGATGGGTGTCGAGGAGACCCGTGCGCACTTGTCATGAATGTTGTGCAAGTTCCAGATCTGAGACGGGCAGTCGCTTCAGCTTCACACTGAGGATTTGTAGACAGCGCAGCTTGCACTAAATTTACGGTTCTGTTTGCTGTCGCGGTGTCGCGTGTACTGGAGGCTGCTTATCGACTTTTGCTGCTCTTCTCCTCGTTGAACGTGTGGCCGCAGCCTTTTGCAACACTCCACATTGGGATTTGATGCAACAGGACGGCAAAACACCATGGCATCTTAGCATCAGCATGTTGCAGGAACTGTATTCTTCAGTGAGGCTTGGAGTCGCATCCACATTGAACTGAAGCTGATAGGTCTGAGCAGTGCAGACGCCACCGTCCGAAGCCTGGGACGGAAAGGTAAAGGCTGCACAGTCAAGCGAGCAAACAACAGTTTGTTGTCAACAGTTGCCTGCTCTTGTATCATGCCGAGGCCAAGAAAAGCGCGACAAAGATGATTTGAACAGACATGTCAGATTCAAGCAGGCGGGATAAACGGGCAGCACTTGTCGAAAAAGCTTTCACGCATTTGATCTGAAAGCCTCATCTGCGGCACATTGGCACGCTTGAGTGCCATGTGTTGAGGCTTCACCAAAATCATTCAGAGTCACAACAGCTGTGTCAAGCTACGGCAAGATTCATACCATCAGGTCAGCAGCAAACTTGCTGAGACGTTTGCCTTTGCCTTCGACTGGGCTCAGCAGCCGCCTCAGCTGATCTGAAATTCGGAAGTAGGCTTTGCATGCCAGTCTCCCCAGACATCCTTCCGAGAAAAAACGGTGCTTTGCATGAAGCAGTCGTTCCAAATTCTAGTTGAAGAGTTGAGCAAATCATCCAAAACCCACAACATTTCCCCCAGAACCCATCCAGCTGTGCTGCTACCGGTAAAGTGAGGCACGCTGAACTTCAACTAGAAGTCATCTCAATTTGAAGTCTGGAGCCATCCGAAGCAATTCTGTGCTGGTTGCTTCTGACTCCAAGCCATTTTGAAATTAGTTCTTGCGCCTGCACCTTGTGAAGAAGTCGCCTACCCGTGTCTGAGAGTATCTGATCTAAAAGTTGAGCGAGACTCTCCAAAAGTCACAATGGAGACACATTCGCATGTGTCCTCAAAATTTGCCTGCACTCCAATCCAAAATGCCCAAGCATGTGTTGTTGTGGAGAAGTGTTCAGTGTTTTTCAAGGGTAAGGCTATTGGTGCATTGCCACAGAGGAACATTATTATGTCCCCTTGACGAAAACCTTCCCCCCGGCGTGGTTGTAGGCCCGAGACTCGGAAATTAAGGGTATATCCAGGTGCAGCAGCTGGAGCAAAGAGCTTTCATAATCTTAGGCAACAGGTTGAACTTCCGGTACTTCCTAATTCGTCTGTTCTGGCGGATTGGATTTTGCAATTACAGGGGGTGTATCAACATGAGGTCAACATTGTGCGGGCCGAGAATTTTGAATTATGAGAAAGCAAAACTTATGCCAAAGCAATGATCACATTTTGTCCACGCATCAAATTGACATTTCCAAGTCTGATAGAATGCTGGCGTCAATGCGCGACATAGTAGCAATGCTAGTGCTAGTTCACCAAACAACCAAGGAATGCATAATGAATCAGATGTTTCACGGATTCTGTGGTGCCAGGATGTCACGGGCCTTCACATCCTGGAGCCGGCTCTGTGTGATCACAACTGCTATGGACCAAGCGGCCCAGGTCACGGCACAGAAAAGCCTTTCATAAGGGTCTCAGCATTTTGGGAGCTTCTCCTGGGAGCCCGCGTTATGTGTAAACGCACCTTGTGTAGTACCTGCTGGTCGTCGAGATAGTGGTGAGGGTATCCGTGCAACATGTTGTGAAATTTAAGGCTGCCGTCAGTTGCTATTGAATTAGTGCCCACGGGTTCTGGGCCGCCATTGTTCCTTTTGACAGCTCCCCAGCCAGCAAGCAACACGCAGTAGAGGTCCGATTCAATAGCCGCAGCAGATTTCCGTTTGCTATCCACGATCCCACGATCCAACGCATTTGCTTGGTGACCAGAGTCGTGCCAGAACACCCGTTTCCTCAGCTCCTTCCAGCAGTTTGAGCTGGTATGAGCCATCAGAGCCGAAACTTTGAGCCCATATCCCCAGCGTTGTAATCCTGCAACAGGACCAACTGGCCGCTGCAGCACAGACCGTTGCGGATGCAACCAGCCTCTTAGGCTGTTAAGTTGCAATGTGACTGGCATCCCATGTTAAGTGTAAGCGCTGAGGCAAGCAGTCTACGCTGCTACAGCAAGTAGCTTATTTGGAGCAAGAGCTGGGAAGTGTACGCCAACAAAGAGATGCACTATCAGAAGATCTTGAAGCCTTCCTCCATAAAGGAATTGGCACAGGAGCGCCAAGCTTGCGCAACTCTTCGGAATTGCGAGGTGATGATGGCAGCCGTGCTTCAAAACTTGAAGCTGAGCTTCAGCTTGCTGAAAAAATGCTGCGTGCGTGTGAGAAGGAGAACGAGAACCTGGCAAACCAGAATCGCCAACTTCGGCAAGGAGCTCGCTTACGGCGCAAGGAAGTTGATGGCAGGCAACTACAACTTGTTGCAGAGCTGAATGCAGCAAAAGCCAGTGCAGATGCAAATCCAGCAAGCATGGCTCGACTTGCAGACCTAGAGCGTGAGCTAGTAGCTGTGAAAGAACGAGCTGAAGAGCATGCAAATGAGCTTGAGAAGTGCAGGGAGGCAAAGCGCCAATTGGAAAGAGAATTGATAACTGGACCCGCGCCGAAGCCTGCTCAGAGTGAGGAGCTAGAACATGCTGAAGCAAGGCTTGCCCAAAGCCGGAGTGAGGTCTCTGAGCTCCAGGCTAAACTCGTCTTCTATGCACATGGCCAGCAGGAGATGGAGGAAGACCGACGACAAGTTCTTCGTCTTGGTGAGGAGCTAAGGGCGGCCTTAAGCGAGAATGCAGAGCTTCGAAAACATCCTCCCAGAGAAGCTGGGAAGAAGATCGCGGAGCTACGCAAACAGAATGAAGAGTTGCACGAATGCTTAAGGAAGCGTCACCCGGACAGTTTGCTGGCGCTGATAAAGGCATGTGAGCCGCCTCCTGAAGAAAAGCGAAAGCTGAGCGAACTGAAAGGACGTGTGGTGGAGCTGGAAGCGCAGCTGGCAGAACAGGATGCGCTCTACGACCGTCGCATCAGAGCGCTGAGAGCGCAGTACGACCACATGCGACACGAGTACGAGAGACGTGCAGCTGCGAATCGTATCGTGACGGAGACACCGGAGGAGCCCAGAAGAGCTGCTCCATACCGCGAGGCAGTTCTTCAAGCGAGAATTAAAGATTTGGAGCGACAGGTTGAACACACAAAGTCCTATTATCTCAGCAAGCTTCGCAAAAGAGAACCGCTTGTACCATCAAACAAGGCCAACAAGGCCGCGGCTCCCAACAGCATTGGTCACGCAGGACATCACCCCAGCGAAAGCCGCATCCATCAGTTGGAGCAACAACTGCAGCTGAAAGAGGATCGTATCTCAGAACTGCTTGAAGCAATGCGGGCACAGGATCTGAACGCTTCGAAGACTCAAACTTGCCCAGCTTCGACATTCTCTGCCTGGCCAGAAGCGCACCTGGCTCTTTGCTCGGTCCAGCGTTGGCTTGAGGATGCCAGAACGACGAACTCTGATGAGGCGTGGGGTCGGAACTCTCAGGTCCGATCAATGCTTCCTTGCCGATGATGACTACGATGATGTTGATGATGCTGCTGCTAGCTGCTAGACCCTCCAAGCATCAGCTCCCTTGATTAGCTTCTGTTTTGCCAGGAAAGATAGGAAAGGCTAGCGGCTGAATCGTTGCACCTCTATGCTATCGTAATGCTCCAGTTCTCGGTTCATGTACGTCTGCTAGTTTCTTGCCTTGTCCACAGTTTGGCTGAAGGTAACACAGATGAGAAGGATCAAGCAAAGTGAAAATACACCAACATTTTACTGTAAATGCATGTCAGCGGTGTGGAGGTGCCAAGACGGATTCTGCAGGATGCAGAGGCCCGAACATCTGCAGTCATTTGGCTTGGCTTCTCGCTGTAGCACAGGCTCGTGCAGATGGTCAGGACAAGAAGCTGCCGTGGAGCCAACTCCTAGTCTCAGTCTGAGCTTTGACTTTGAAGGCTGCGCCTTATCATCGTTTTCATTGCTTCTTTTCATTTCTTTTCCGAGGCTGTGCTGGCTCGCGCTGGCCTGCCACGATCCTTGTTGGATTCGCCAGGGCCCTGGCGCATTGAAGTCTTCAGCTTGTTGCGCCTTAGTTATCGGCTTCATGCTTACTTGTGCGGTGCTGTTGCTCAGATTGTGGTCTCAGAATTGCCCAAGGGTCATATTCTCATTTTTTTGGTAGATTACCAGGCTTCATACCATCGGACCAGCAAAGTGTTGACGCAATTCGTACCGGTGCTTTACTTACCCGACCCTGCAGCGCACAGAGCATAGCTTGCAGCTGTGTGGGCTGATTGATCTTCCACGCTGCCCGGTTGTTAGCTGGTGGAGGATGCATATCAAACTACTTCAAACGTGGCTCAAGAGCTGCAGCCATTGCCTGGCACTCCACACGTGGCCTATGAAATACAGGCATCCCGTCTGCAATGCCAGTAGGTTTCCTGAGGTTTGCTGCAGAAATGGCCTCCAAGGGCTTGTGCCACATCTGAACTTCAATTTGCAGATTCAAGGATCAGTTTGCGATGTGTCTGCGTGGCAGCTGTCATCCTGAACATCTGCTATGCAGCAGGCAAGATGAGAGAGAGCTTCTGTGTTGTGGCTTGGAATTTTGTCACTGCACTGTGGCAAGGATCTGATACGAAACGCCATCAGCACCCTCGGCTGGTATTATTGATGCCGCACCTCTGTAGATGTCTTATCAGACGCAAGCATGAGGATGGAGATTTCAGCATCCGGGGTGAACAGTGCGTCGTATGTGATGCGGCGGGAGGCCGGCCGTGTCGGAACCATGAGATGCTTCTGTCGGCCGTGGAGTGTCCTCTTTCTTCCGACCATCATGGCAATTTTTCTTGCAGAAACAAGGTTTGCAAACCAGGCTGCACAATGCTCTATAACGTTGCAGGTCGGTGATGCAATTGCCAGTGCAGACCTTGATGATGTGCGTCTTGCAGCACCTGGCTAAGAATCCAGTCATGTCAAGCATCATGATCGTTGCTTCCTTTGCTCCGGGTGTGGGCCCATGAGCAAGGTGGACGCGGCCAAATATGATGCGCATTTCGGTACCAGAGCAGAACCGGAGGCAGCCTGCAAGAATCCGTGAGAGACCGCGGTTTGTCTCGATCATTTCTTTGTTGTCAGGTGAGAAAGGCGGGAGATGATTGTACTGGACTTAAAGAGGCTACCGAATGCACAAATGACGACGCTTGGAATGAGATGGCTTTTTGTCTGTCAAAACAGCTGCTAAGCATTTCTTTCGCAGAAATGCGGATGGACACTTGTGTTGTGTGTTTGTCCAGCAGTGTCTCTCTCTAACTCAAGGGTTTCAAAGACCATCTTTAGCTGAGTCTCAGCTGGTCCTATCCTAGCTCTCCTTAACTCGTATAGTCGAATACTTGTCCAAAACCAGTCACTCTTGTTGCGGTCGAAGGCTTTTCACCTATGCCTATGACTCTTCTAAACTTGGTAAAAAAAGACCGGTGGTCCAGCATCCAAGTCCAATTTCTTTACTCGAAACTTCTTAGCAAATTCTGGATACGGAGGCTTGAAACACACACGAGTGTGAAAACTCAAACTGAACCTTCCCAGACTGCCTGGTTGAGTGGGCCAAATGTGCATATGCCTCTGCAGCATCGACAAACAGAACCTTCTCCCAAAATAGATTCGTCCGAACAACCAGAAGCGCAGGTTCCAACCCTTCATTTGTTAGCTGGGCGTTGAAGAACTCTAAGCTGAAAACCGAACCCTTTCGAGTGCACTATCTTTTAACAGTTTGTGTCTAAGAGCAGATGGCTCGAAGCTCAAGGTCTAGCTAGAGGTTGGAGCCGGAAAGGTGAAAGGGCGAATGTGGGGGAAGGACAAGAAGACGCAAATGGGTTTCTTTTTGGCAGCTTGGAGCCTGAAAGGACGGCCTGAGTAAGGCTTTGGCAAGCGCCATCAAAACGAACACCATCATTTCTGGAATGAAGTCGCCGAAAGTTTATCAATCTGAGCTGCTGAGGACGTGCAGCAAAGCGCTGCTGCTTGCGAGAGTCACAAAGCTCCGAAAGGCCAGCCGTCATTCGCAGGTAATGGCTTTGCTGAGGCTGTCGGTTTTTTACTGCCGATATTTTAGCCTATGCTGTATACGCAGCACAGGATCTAATTTCTATCGGTGTTCGTGGAAACAATCAGTCCTGGGCTCAGCTTCTTGCTGGCGCATCATGGCGCATTTTTTTCTCAGCTTGCACCTTGGCGCGCCTTGTCAAGGAACCGAATCATGGCGATGAGCCTGCTATCCCTGCAGAGTGTTACCTAGACGAGAAGGTGTCAAGCCCTCATGTTGTGCATAAGATTACATCCTCTCAATATGCCACACCGGAACCTGCAGGCCGGGCCCTGCAGCACGTGGGGCGACAGTTCATCGCCTCCGGAGTAGGTTCAAAAAGTTGGCCTGAAGACAAGCTCTGACCTTCTTTGATCGTCTTTGCATCTTCTCAGTCTCTGTTTCTGATCGATTTGCCTTCTTCCTTATTGTATCTCCCAGATTTGTTCGCTTGAAATGGTCGGCTCAAGCGCGGCAAAGAGTTCCGCAGTCTAGGGTTTGCTAAGTGCATCGTCCATCTCTCCCTTAGTTTTCAGCTTCGGGAGCTGTGGCCCAGCTACATTACGCCCCCCACTTACTCCGGGCAGGCTGCGAGTTGGCATCCAAGGCTTTCCACAAGGTATCCATGTTCTGCTTCACCTCGCTTCTGGCGGTTGTGCTGGTCGGAAGCCTTGGGCCCAGAGATGCCCAGATTGTCCTGAAGTGCAGAGCTTGCAAAGATACAGATTCCAGCGTGCAAAGTGGCACGTAAGGAACCTCCTCAAGGCATGTGGGTGAGCAACGGAGACTTGACAAAGCCTGGAAAGCTTTGTGCCCGATGGTTGGATGTTGTCATTAGTTGGTTCTTTCATGTCCTCCCTCTCTCTTTTTGGACTGCGCATTTTCTGCTGTGGCTGAGGGTAGTCGTGGATGCTGCTGGTGCTGAACATGGTGCTGGTGCCTCTATGGTCAGACGAGAGGCACGCAGAGAAGTGTCACAAGGCTGCTGGAGATTCTTCAGCACTGCAAGCAATCCTTCGCATCGTGATTTGGACGAGCGCCCGATTTGAAATAAAAAAAGCTCGAGTGGAATCACTGCAAGCGCGCTTGTGGTTGCAACAACCGGCTGCATCTCAAGTCTGGCGTAAAGAAACCATGCGGTCATGGAGCGAGTGCGGTACCTTGTCTGCCTCCCCCGTGGATGGTGATGATGGGGGAGGGGCAGCTTTGAAACAAATCTGCGCAGATTGTAAGACCCATCGCGTTTTGGGGCCCAAACGCACCGCTGTATGATGCTAAAGGCGCGAAATGGAAGCAGACGGCGTGATGGTGAACTAGCCAGTATGTGGATGGATCTCCCCTTACCAATCTCTTTGTTACTTCTCAGTTTGCTGTATCACACTATGCCTGACATTTTGCGAAGCTGCTGGTTTCAATCAAGCTGTAACTCGTAACCGTTTGTCGCTTAAGATGAACCGTGCAGCCTCCCAGAGAGGGACGTCCAAAATGGTCATGTGATAAGCTGTGACAAAGACAAAGCAGTCAGCTCCTGACAGCCTTGCACGTGCAGGAAAGCCTCATGAATGTCTACGAAGGACGATGCCGCATGCTCTGTTACAGCAGCTGGGTCTTTTGAACTTACGTGTCCAGCTTATGCAGCCTATCAGGAGAAGTGCGCGAGCAAGCAACCCGTGCTGACTGTACTGGACGCTTGTCAGCAGTTTGGCACTGTGTCCATTCATGGCAGTTTTGCGGACCACTGGCTGATTTCAAAAAGTCTCAGCCAAACTCGTACCAGAAATAGACCATGTGTCCATTCCTAGCCATAATGCCGCCACCAAACACAGTTACG